TTAGTCAGAAATTAACATTTTTAAATTATAAAATATTTTTTCTCGTGAAATTCAATTTTTAACAAAGTATCAAGAAAATAATCGTTTATTTAAACGTTTTTAACTTTAGGATTATTAAAAATTTGCTATTGAAAATCGTTAATTTCTAGAGTAAATTTCATAGTATAGATAGCAAATTTTAATCAAAATTAGTAAAATTTACTTTGGACGTTGTTAAATTTCGTCTAAAAAATAAAAATATAGTAAAATTTACTATTAAAATTGTTATTTCCAGAATAATTAGTATTTCTAAAGAAAATTTTTTTATAAATATTAGAAAAATTTATTTTATAAGTAGTAAAATTTACTCGGAAAATAATAATTTTTAATAACAAATTGTACTACATTCGAAGAAAATTTTAGAGATTATTAGAGAAAATTAGGAGATTTTTAAGGGGGATAAATAAATAAATAAATAAATTCTTTTACCAAGGGAAAAAGGAGAAAAAGGAAATAAAGAGAAAATAAGAAATTTTGGTAAATAAGGTAAAAATTTCTATGATCATAATTAAAGAATAAAAATTCCCCCGTAAGTATTTCTCAAAGGGATGGAAGAAAAAAAATGTAACTAGGTTAGCAGTATCTCTCCTTGAACCTACTACGCATAACTCGTGTCATCTTACTCGCGGTATTTTTTTTTACTTCTTTCTCTTTCTTCTTTCCTTCTCCTCATTTCTCTTCTATTTTTCCCCCTCTCTCTCTCTTTGTCTCTCGAAAGAACTGTAAATACGTGTGCATGTTTATTTTTTCGCTTCAAATTCGTGCTATTAACTTTCATATACTCTAAATTATCCCTGCAATTAAACATTCTTTTTCTAAATCTTATTCAATGCATCCAATAATACACCCTCTGGGCTTTTTTTTCTAAAAGAAAAAAAAACATCATCTCTCACTTTATCGTCTTTCGTGTTTGCTTAGTATTTTATGTGTCAAATCTGTACTATATGAGAGACTGGTACCTAACGGGATTTCCTATACACACACACACACACACACACGTCAAGTCACGTGCGTACGCCAGCAGGTGCAAAATACCTATGGAAACGTCATTATTTGTCTTGGTATTAGTTTATAAAATCAAGTGAGAATATACTTTGGTAGGACGTTGACGTTAAGTATATAGTCATTGGTATTTGCCATCGACAAATTGTGCACAGAGAGGATGAGGTTTAATATTACGTCTCTGTTTAATTACCGACTTCGAAAAGGAATTCGAGTCAATCCTTTGGAAAAAAACAAGAATTTAATAATGAATCATTTCCTTAACATTTTCTGTTCGAAAAAAAACTTCCTTTTTCTTTTATCACTGTCGTTTTTCTCCCCAGAAAAGAAAAAGAAAAAGTCCTTATAACGGATACATAAAGAAAACTACAACTCAATAATCTAATAATTATTTCACTAGACTAAAATTAGCTAAAAACTTTTTGAATCCGATGACAAATCTGCCAGCACGATGACAATATATCTCAACAGTAAATTAATAATTTCAACCAATTTTCCCAGCCTTTACTTCATTTTTAAATAAAAAAAAAAATGAGAATATAACATCTCGAATTTTTAAATAAAAAAAAAAAAATGAGAATATAACATCTCGAATTTTTAATCATTTCCTGAACTACAAAAAAGTGAAACAGGATCTTCATTTAAAATTGAATCAGCTCGTCTTTTTGTTCAAGAATAAAACAAATTTCATTCTTATAATAGAAAAAAATCTTTCTAAATGTGCATTCTCATTGAGATCGTGAAAAAATAATCATCCCAAGTAAACAAAAGATTTCATTTGTCATCACTTAATGATTCTTCACTCGATAATATACATTTTTTTAAAAATATTTTCTACTCCACTTTTGACCATTTTTTGCATAATTTAATCTTTCTCATTAAAAATTAAAAAAGTGAACAAATAATTGTAAATCATTATATAAAATAAATCTCTACAAACATGATAAAGGAACCAACATTCCACAAAGTGTAGACGGAGAGAAAATTATATTAAATTTGATAAAAGTATTTTACAATTTAGGAAAAAATTGAGAAACTTTGATATAAAAAATACTAAACTTTAAAAAAACTTATATGGAATTTAGTATAATTAAATCAAATATAAGATATAAAATATTCCGATTCACTCTAAAAATGATTAGATACCCAAGAGCAATACCTATTTAATCATTATTATTTTTAGGAATTAAAAATTCTTTAAAAGATTCAAATTGAAACCTTTTTATAGTTTAACTTTAACTTTAAAATTACTTTCAACTTTTCAATTTAATTATTATTTTCTAGAATTTTTAACAAAAATTCTTCTTTTAGTCAATTATTTCTAAATTTTTTAGAAAGTTCTTTAAAAATTTTCAAATCCATTTGTTCACAATTCAATTTTACGAAATTTCATCAATTATTCGGAAATTCTTTAATTGTATATTGGAAAATAAAAACTTGAAATAATTTTTAAAAAAATTCAATACAACTTCTTCAAAAAAATTAAATTATTTCAAAAATAAATGAACTCTTGTGATGAACATTGTTTATTTAGAAAAATAATTGAATTTTGTAAAGAATTTTATTAAAATTCCTGAAAATAATTGAATTTATAAATAGAATTTTATTATTTATGAAAAAAATTGAAATATAGCGAAGAAATTTATATTAAAATTTATAAATAATTGAATTTCGGAACAGAATTTTATTACTTTTGAAAATAATTAAAATTTTGATAAGAATTGAAAAAATTTTTTTTTAAATAATTGTATTTCGGCGAAGAATTTTATCACTTTCGAAAATAATTGAAATTTGGATGAGAATTAAAAATTTTTTTTTTAAATAATTCAATTTCACCGAAGAATTTTATTAGGTACTTTCGAAAATAAATGAATTCTTGTAATAAACATTGTTTATTTATGAAAATAATTGAATTTTGTAAAGAATTTTATTAAAATTCCTGAAAATAATTGAATTTCTAAATAGAATTTTATTATTTACGAAAAAAATTGAAATATAGCGAAAAAATTTATATAAAAATTTATAAATAATTCAATTCCTGTGAAATTTTTATGATATATGAAAATAATTGAATTTCGGAGAAGAATTTTTAAATTTTTTTTTAAATAATTGAATTTCTGCAAAGAATTTTATTTCTTTCAAAAATAATTGAATGAATTCATGAACATTGTATATTTATGAAAATAATAAAATTTTGTAAAGAATTTTATTAAAATTCCTGAAATTAATTGAATTTCTAAATAGAATTTTATAATTTGTGAAAACAATTGAAATACAGCGAAGAAATTTATATTAAAATTTATATATAATTAAATACCTGTGAAATTTCTATGATTTATGAAAATAATTCAATTTCGCAGAAGAATTTTATTACTTTTGAAAATAATTAAAATTTTAATGAGAATTTAAAAAAATTTTTTTAAAAAATTGAATTTCGGCGAAGAATTTTATTACCTTCGAAAATAAATAAATTTTTGTAATGAACATTGTTTATTTATGAAAATAATTGAATTTTGTAAAGAATTTTATTAAAATTCCTGAAAATAATTGAATTTCTAAAAAGAATTTTATTATTTATGAAATATAGCGAAGAAATTTATATTAAAATTTATAAATAATTTAATTTTTGTGAAATTTTTTTTAATTTATGAAAATCATTGAATTTCGGAGAAGAATTTTATTACTTTTGAAAATAATTGGAATTTTGATGAGAATTTAAAAACATTTTTCTAAATAATTGAATTTCTCCAATTATATGTAACTCCACCTAAATTCAATTTTATTTGTTATTAATTTTATTTTTATTTTATTTCTCTATTTTTTAAGTAAAATTCTTCTAGAAATCCATTATTTTCAATAACTTTACTAAATTTCATATTGTTTCTTTCACTCTTTAGTATTTTCTATGTCTAAATTTCGGTTTGAGAAGAATCTTTCTTTAACTCTCAATTTGCACTTATTTCCCAAATTGTAAAACATTTTTACAAAATTTAATATATATTTTCTTTTCGTTTAAATAGTAAAAAAATGTAAAAAGTAAAAATGTAAAAGAAAAAAGAAAAATATACAGAAAATACAATATAGAAACAAAAATACAGAATAAAAATGCAAACAGGAAAAGAAGATCCAAAAAGTAAAAAAATGAAACATCTTCAAAACAAAAAGAGTAAAAATGTAAAAATAAAAAAATACGAAAAAAAGTAAACCTACAAACAGAAAAGAAAATCCGAAAAGTAAAAAAACAAAACTTTTTCAAAACAAAAACCAAACGAGCGTAAAAATACACCAAAGGTAAAAGTTAAAATACTCGGAATTAATAACTTATTTTTCTCCATTTTTATAACGATATACTTTATATTGATTATTCTAAAAGGTTACAAGTTATTTTCTCTACATTTAATAATAAAATAAAGCAGGGAATCTCGCAATATTTATTATATTTTCTCGTGGTTAATAACTTCAAGATTTCTTAAAAGTAGATCAAATAGTTTCTTCAAGAAAAGTAATTAACATGAATCTCTCTTGAAACTTATTTGTAAATAACTAAACCTGTTTGTATTCAAATAAATACACAGCATCCTTATAATAATAAACAAAAAAACTCAAACTTTAATTAGTAAAACAAACAAAAATTTAGAGAAAGTAAAAAAATTTAAATTTTTAAATAAAAATTTAAACATTTTCTATTTTTGACACTTTTTTTAACGCGTGGACATTTTCTCTATTATAAAAATATCATACAAGTTTAACGACAATGAAATAACTAATGGCTTGAGCCTTTGACATTTTCTAGTCTGTGTTTAATTAAAGTATCAGCGCACAGACTCATTAAATATATGCACCAACACCTTCCTTTGTATATAATGCCTGACAAAAGAGAAGACTATAAAGCACTGAAAGCAACTGCTTCATTAAGAAATTCTCACAATTTGGAAAAACTAATTATTACTTTCTTGCAGATGACTTCCGGTAGGAGTATTTATCTACTAGTCCTGTCTCTGGCAATGACAGAAGCTTTTTCCATTTCCTACACACAACCCGAAAGAGGTGAGTTTTCCGTACTCTTAAGCATATTTTTAATTCAACTTTATTTTATTTTTTTAATTCTTTTAACTAATTTTACTATCCATTTTTTATCTATTTTTTTATCTATTTTTTTCTATTCAATGTCAATAAATGTTACTGAAGGAATTTTACTAGAAAGTTAGCCTTAATTTTCGTTCCAAAGTAATTAAAAAGTCACTTTAAATCATTTCAGTTAAAAATTAAAAGCGGAAAACTTAACTTTCCATTGAACATTAGTGAAGTATTGAAATGAAAGCTAAATTTATTTCTACAATGTTCGTATTTATAAATATGAATCTTTGAATTCTTTCAAGTTGAAGAACAGTCAGTGAAGCTGGAAGTAATTTATTTTCAATTGAGGATAGGAGCTCAAAGCTATAATCATAATAGAGGAATAAATTTTACACATTCCATTTAAAACACTAGCTGTGTAACAATTGTGTCAGAACGAAAGTATGTAATACGTATACATTCCTTTCATACACTTTTTTTAATGACTACTCTATACTAAAGCATACCATCTCTCTCTCTAAAAAAAGGATTTTTTTACCAACTTCCCTATAACCGTCATTATATAGAACGATTTCGCTAACATCTGGCCAGTGAAGAAAGAACAATCACAAAGATCATAAATTACTAAGGCACAACTAGGATTAAAAGCTTTTAAAAAGGAAAACTTGTCCAATTTCTCGAGAATGAGAGTTAAAGAAAGATTCTCCTCATTCGGACCAAAAATTAGTGACTGTTTTTATAAACTTTCTATAAAAATAGTCTCTATTTTTTATTTTTAAACGCAGAGATAAAGAGACAATAAACTTGGTACCATTTCGTAGCATTTAATTTCTGCCAAAAGTAAATATTTTGGAGACTAGGAAATTTCCCTTTTTTCTACACTGACAATTCTTTCTTTACCTTTTTCTTCTTTACATACAAAAACCATACTTCAAATGGAATGTTTGTTACAACTTTCACTATAATAGTAATAGTTAAAATTTCTCATGTTGCAAAAAAGAATTAAAAATCAATTTTCGGCATCTTAACAACAATACACTATCTCCCTTTAATGAAGCACGCGGTTCAAATTTCTATAAAGTAGCACATTGCAATAAAGGAGTGTAAAAAGAATCTGGAACGCTTTGGACACGGCGCAAGGACCTCACGAGCATACGGACTATCTACAAAGAGTAGGTCATTACATTGGTAGTGTGCATGAAGAACTAAGTTCAGAACGCACGTGCGAAGTCTACATGTTTGCTCAACTATACCTGTTGTAGTCAACTAAGCATAACTTCTCCAAATCGTTATGTATTTTTAAAATCGAATCTTCTTCCTTGTTTCTATTCTCACCCGAGAGAAAAAATTACATCTTTTTGAATTACAATGCTTTATGATAAGAAAAAATTAATTCCTCCGGAAACTAAAATTGTTCATCATTCCTCACACACTGTTAAAGAGCGTACTGATTCACACTGGGATATAAATATTGAAATCAGTTTTAAATTCAGCACTGTCTGCTTTATCCTTCAAAATCCGTTATTGAATCCAAATTCGAATGACTTTTTTTTAAAAATATTGTAACTTAATTTAAAACTTCTTTTCTGCCTGAAAGTAAGACTTTAACTGTGCTCTTCTAAATAGAGAAATTTAGTAAAAGAAGCAAAGAAGAAAGAAATAGAGAAGAAATAAAAAAAATAGTGAAGAAATACAGAATATAATAAATTGATAACAATTAGCAATCTACTTGCGATAAAGTAGCTAATCAACCGATCTCTTTATCAACCGCTATCAGTAATTGATCCTCCGCTTAAATAGAGTAGAAAAAATTTAAATAGATATAGGACAATCATTAAACGAAACTTTCAGTGATTCTTAGAGAGAGCCTCAATAAATATTTTCCTTTCTTTATACAAAAAAATATCTTTTCTAGAAACATTTACGCTTTAAGGAAACTTTCCTACCATTTAGAAAACATCTCTCTTAACTTAAAGAAAACAAAAAAAGAAAAGAAAACAAAAAAAAACATTTTAAAAAAACCACAATTAAATTCTAAAAAGCAATTACAATTTGTCAATGCCCTCAGCTAAACACATCCTCATAAACATGAATTATTATCAAAGTAAATATGTGTCCAACATTAATAGTATCGCACAAATACTTTCACAATATTATCCGTTACAAGTTTCTTCTCGAATAAAGAAATATTCATTATTTTAATACAATATCATTCAACGACCTTCACCATGACCATCGCCAACCCACGAGTCGATTTCTCCAGCTAGCGGATATACAAAACACACCTATTACTATATTGACAAGTTCAATTGATTAACTCATATCTATATATGTATAGGAGAGCTATCTGAACGTTAACTCAATTCATGCAATCATAAATCGTAGACGCGGATCGGATACCGAGTTGTTTTGTGGAAATATAAATGCGGCATTTATATCGGTAAAGTCCCTAGAAAAGGAGATAATACTTTAATGATCTCACGTTCCATTTTATCAACGTCAAGTGCAATTTATATTTTCAATGGAAAATCAATCATCGCAAAAATTTATTAGAAATGCAAATAGCTACTTTAAGATCGTTTATAATATAATTAGTTTCTTTCTGATTGACAGATTTCAATTTCTTCTTTATTAGAAATTTTCACGCGTCAATAAAAATTTATCAAGTGTCAATCCAGTTTCTCATATTAATTAACTTTGATTTAATTAAACCAATTAAAACTTTAGATCTAATTCTTCTTAGCCAAAACTAGTCAAAAATTCCAAATTCAGATTAAGAGAGCATTATCAGGAAAAGATCATAATTGCCTTGCCTATCTAGATAAAAATTCTATACGATTGATAATAAGTGAGATGATGATCATTATCATCATCATAAAAAATAAAGTGATAAAAAATTGACATCTTTTAATAAAAGAAAATGATTCTGCAAAATCTTTCGAGAGCGACACAAAAACAAGAATGTCAACAATATTTAAACAATCCGTATAATTATAACCAATCATTCCCTCTATTATATTCAAGATTCATCATAGAAAGTGTAACGTCAATAAAATATAAAAATCCTCATCTTACTTTCACCAACCCTAAAATCACAAGCATGTCCTAGTTATTCTAAATTTATGCACGTCGTTTTCTCCCGGTAAACATAACATAATTATACCAAGATATGTATACAAACAAACTCTAAAAAAGAAAATCTTTCACAAATACTCTCCAGTATTTTCTAAGAAAATTACATATGTATTAAACTTTGATAAAGTCTCAGCACATGATAGATCAAACCACTCAAACTATAATTCTTCTCCCCTAAACGTATTGATTTATTTATTACATGATCACTAACATCCTTGTCCTCGATCTTCGTTTTCAGGGAGAAAGCTGTTTGGCGGGTATAGAATAGTTCCAAAGGTGTGTCAGCCAACGAATCCCTCGAGAGTTAAGCCCAACGAACCAGCCATTTGTATGTTCAATTACGAATGTACTCAACGGACCGGAGAAGTTGTTGGTGCCTGTATGGATGGATTTCTTTTCGGTGCATGTTGCCAATTGCCCTCGAAACATGCCGAAGTCAATAATTTAGAGAAAGTTCAGGGCCCCGACAATTTGCTAAGTGTCTATCAAATAGATCATGCACCTGAAATACCGATTCTTCTCAATCCCGATGGAACACCGGTGGGATCATCCAGCACATCTGGTTCCCTACCACCAACAAAATCCGAATCACCATCAATAGGCGGAAGTTTCACGAAAATTTCAACCATTGGTCCTACAAATCATTTCCCTTCAACTAACAATTATCAATATACAAAAATCACCAGTGATAGTACGAAAAAGCCACAAAATAATCAACAAATTAATTATAGTAGCTTAGAGCAAGACATACCTAATCTATTTGGTCAACAGCAAATATTGGATGATTTACAACTGCCAGGATTACTCACACATTCGGACTCAAATAATGATATTCAAGATCATCAAGACACTGCTATTCTCAGTCCAGTGACCACTCTACTCAATGCCGATCAAATTCTACAAATTGCAGATCCTGTCGATCAACTACCAGTATTATTCTCCCAAGGTATCGCAAATAATAATCAAACTGGTCCAGAGACAATTCTCCTCAGTGAAAATGGCACCGTTCTACAGGAGGTTCACAATCCGGATGAAATTTTCAAACCAACGACCAGTTCAACGAAACTAAAGATCAGTCAATCAACTCCTGCTTATAATTCCTTATCATTTTCTAAAGCAACGCCCACGAAGAAAAGTACAACAAAGTTACCCATTCTTACTCAAAAGTATGCTTATTCGGAAAAATTGACAAGCTCAACTCAGAGTCTAAAGACCACGGGAAGTTTCACCCCTTCTAGAAAACCTGATATCAGTAAAATTAATGGAACCTCAACGACAGGATTTTTAGATTCAAAGGCTACTGCTTCAAAAGTCATGTCAACCTTCGAAACAACCACTCCAATGAATCTAAACAGAAATAAAAACAAAACGGATCTAGTTAGAGTACCAACGATCACTTATGATGCTGGAAACAAAAAGCACGATGAACTCGATCGAGAGGAAATTGCCATTAATCACATCATTTCAATTTTGAATGATACTACTCCAAGTTCAGACACGAAATTCACTTCACATTGTAAGTAGCCAGTCAAAATTTTAATTTAGGTACATACCAAATATTTAGATATCTAATGATGAATTTTTACTTATGTACATTTCTTTTTCAGCTGGAAACACAGTTTCCTCATGGACACAAAATTGGGTGAGCATTGATGAAACATCCAAGCCTTCAGTATCCAGAATAAGTTCCACTAGACCCAGTTCAATGAGGCCTTCTTCCTTATTGACAACAGAATCATTTCCGTACACTTACTTTAATAAACAGAAACCATCATCAAATTACTATTATTATCAAGTATCCACTGAAGGACCAGGAACAACTTATTCTTCTCAATCATCAGGAGGATCAGGAGGAACCTCAACGTACTTATCATCCAGACTTCCTCTCTACACAACCGGTACTTTCCCAGGTAGCAGTGGTTTAACAACAAGACCAACAACAAATCCACCAGCACCCACTGTCATCGTCCTAGGACCCTTAGGCACCGAATACACAACTTCAGCCAGTCAAAAACCATCAACCAGACGTCCTACCACAACCATAAAAACAACAGTCAATACAAATCCCGGAACTAAGAAACCAGTCGTATCAACAACAATCACACACAACATAAGTACCGTAATTTCCGGAGCTACATTAAACAACAAACACGTCGTATCAACAAGCTACATCAGTGTCAATCTCAAAGACGGTACAAGCAGCGTAAGACCAAGTACTCTCAAAGACTATCCATCAAGCACGGAAAAAATTGTTCCAAGCAGTTCAACACCTACCATTATACAACCATTCTGGACCACAGTTTCACCCTGGCCAACCAAAAAGCCGACTTTCCATCTGAAACCATCTTTCGACCTCGATAAAAATTCAACCAAAGTACCAATTACTTCCACCGCCTCATCACTCGAGGATGAAACAGCAGCACCTGACGATTCAATAATTTTCCCCCCAGTCCGTCATCCCGAACTAAACATCTCAAATGCCGTTGTTCAACAAGAGAACCCAACACTAGTCCTCAAGGGAAATGACACAGACTATCCGGATAACTTCATAGTCGGTGATATTCCAACACCCGCATTCATCGAGGATGATGTCTTAAAGAATAAAGTAGACTCGTTTGTCAATAAAATTGTCGACTCCCTACAAGGTAATTTTGATGATCTAAAAGATGTTGTCTATACAAAGGCAAATACCACAGTTGCACCGCCAACAAAAACATCAGCTGCAACTAAAAGGCCAACGCCTAGTCCAACAAAAAAACCAAAACCATCTCAAGTCACTGTTAAGAAGCCAGTGACAAAAAAGCCAACAACAATTCGACCCACCACTCCCGCATCAGGACGACCAACAACACTAAAGTCAAAGCCAACAGCAGGACAAGTTTCTACAACAAAAAAATCTGTTGCCACTACAAAACGACCGAAACCAACGAAAAAAGTTACAACACCGCCTACAACTGAACTTGTCACAGCTGAGGATGTGTCGCCAACTGTTTCAGAGGGCACGCCAACCACAACGGGAATTCCTGATCTTACTTCGGCAACTGATCATCAAAAAGGTATTTTTAACTGCTGCAAATAATACCAAACGGATATTGCCTATTTTACTTCCTAAGTTCCTAACTTGAAACAGTAGACGTACCTGTTTCAGACAGTTTATAAACAGTAGACAAATTTTTTTCTATGTAATTAACCGTAACCCCTGAACAAAAAAGTCCCAAAAATAAAGACTCTGTAGCAACCGTATTTTATTTTCAAAATTTTTTTCAGTTTGTGGAATCAGGCCTCACGTAAAAGCAGGCAGAATCGTTGGGGGTAAAGGTGCAATCTATGGCGAATGGCCGTGGCAAGTATTAGTTCGAGAATCAACTTGGCTTGGACTATTTACAAAAAACAAATGTGGCGGAGTTCTTATAACAAACAAATACGTCATAACTGCAGCTCATTGTCAGCCAGGGTAAATCAAAATAATTTCTAATTAAATCTTTACAATTTCTTCTTAATTTATTATCAAAAGGAAATTGACTAATGAATAATTTCTGCACAAAGGTTCCTGGCGTCTTTGATAGCAGTGTTCGGCGAACACGATATTTCTGGAGAACTAGAAGCAAAACGTAGCGTAACGAAAAATGTGAAACGAGTAATTGTGCATAAAGGTTACGACGCGGCGACCTTTGAAAACGATCTTGCACTACTTGAACTCGAGAGTCCAGTTCAATTTGATACGCATATTGTGCCAATTTGCATGCCCGACGATAATGAAGATTTCACCGGACAAATGGCCACCGTCACCGGATGGGGTCGCCTCAAGTACAGTAAGTAATCACTAACAGGAATTTTCCCTCAAAGACAATTCCAAGAAGGACCAATCAATATGATTTAATCATGATTTAAAGATATTTAAAGCAGTATTTAAATTTCAAATGATTTTCAAGTATAAATTCAAAAGAACAATGTAATTCAAAAACAGAGGTCAAATTTAAAAACAAAGATCACATTCAAGAACAACGGTAACAAAAGAAGACTTTTTCAAACCGAATTTATTATTTTCTAGATGGTGGAGTGCCTTCAGTACTGCAAGTGGTACACGTACCAGTAATGGAAAATTCAGTATGTCAAGAGATGTTCCAAATGGCAAATCATCCAAAATTGATATTAAACAGTTTTCTCTGCGCCGGCTATGCGACAGGTCTAAAGGACTCCTGCGAGGTAAATGCCACACACCATTGAAATTTATTCAAACAACCCAATTTTCACTTTCTTCTCTCCCTCTCTATCACTTTAATTAAATCTAAAACTGTACATACATATAGAGAGATGCTGACACGGGCGCTAATGAAAGCCCAAAGTTTATACATATTCCGTTCAATTAACGACGAGATTACCCCAGCGATTATAACGGATCGTGTGTCTTCCATGATCTACTTTTCTGTCACTCAAAATGAATTCTCCATTAAATTTCAATTCTAATTAACCTCAAAAATCTAATTTTCAAAAATAATTATCAAAAAATTAATATCAAATCTCTAAGCGATAGAGCTTTTCTGCAGATATTAAATTGAGACAAAAAAAAATCAAAACGTTGCAACGTTTTGATTCGTTTTTTGTCTCAATTTGATATCTGCAGAAAAACTATAAATTTAAAAGCATTTGAAATATTTTGATGTCAAAATTTGTGCAAAGCATGTGTTCTAAAACTGTAGACATAATAATTTAAATAACCTTAACCCCTTAACGCCCAAATGTACAAAATTTTGGCACGAAGTTTGAGGACTTATTTCGATACTTAAAAATCAATAGAAAAATTCATCAATAATCTTATGTTAAGAAAATATTCTTATGTTTTCATATGCGTTCTATCGAATGGCGTTATAAAAAATTTATAAAAAAAGTTATTAATGTTTTTTTATGAAATGTTTTTTTTTCAAATTATTGTTTAATTTTCAATTTTTTCTACTACGAAACAGTAGAAAAATAATTCCAAATATTACAAATAACGTGACAAAAATATAAAAGCTACAAGATAGGACTATAGAGAAAATGGAAAATTAAAATGGCGCCTCAAAAATGGAGTTGAAATTTTTTTACTTTTTTACAAAATTTCACCCGAAAGTACGAAATTGTTAAAAGTGTTTAAATTAGCTTGAAACTCGTTAATTGGGGGTTTCAGGGGTCGCTGAACACTAATCCTAAGTCCAATTTTTAAAATTCAAAATGGCGGATCCAATATGGCGGACAATTTTTCTAAAAACTCATTAAATTCGCTTGAAACTTGTTACTCGGGGGTTTTAGGGGTCGCTGATCACGAATCCGAAGTCCAATTTTCAAAATTCAAAATGGCGAATCCAATATGGCGGACAAATTTTCAAATTGGATTTTTCTATTGATTTTTAAGTATCGAAATAAGTCCTCAAACTTCATGCAAAAATTTTGTATACTTGAGCTTTAAGGGGTTAATATTAATAATCACAGAAAAAATAAAATTGCACTTTTTTCTAATTTCAGGGCGACAGTGGAGGACCATTAACGATGCAACGAGAAGACGGAAGATGGGTTTTGGTTGGAACAGTGTCCCATGGAATAAAGTGCGCAGCACCATATATGCCCGGTGTTTACATGAGAACCACCTATTTTAAACCATGGTTACAAATTATCACCGGCGTTTAAAAGTGTAAAAAAAATTACACGAAAGTCAACGGCACGCGAGCGTAGCGCCTCCTCCGTGCCACTTGTATAAATGTACAAAATGAGACTAATTTATTCAAATCTTAATCAAGACGAGGAAAATTGAAGAAGAAGAAGAAGATGATGATGATGAAGAAAAAGAAGAAGAAGCCAATTAATCGATTTAATCGTTGTATTCTGTGTACATAATTTTATTTTTCATAATTACTTTTAAAAATCTGTGTTTATTCTTATCGAAATCTATTTATTTGCATATTAGCTAATATTTATTAAACTTATTTTTGTAAAAAAAAAAAATATTTACAAACTCATTTATAATTATTTCTCTAATTTTCTCTCTTTTAAGTTTATAAAGAGAAAAGAAATGTAAATACGTTTCCTTTGTGACATTTTTAAAATAGAAAATTTTTTAAATACTTTTCTTAAAAAGTGGATTTTTTTCTTTTCCTTTTTTTATTTTTAGACAATAATTTTTTTTTTAAACAAAGATTATGAAGAAAGTAGCTTTCACCTGATATTTTCTTGCACAAAGCGTGGGTAGTTCTTTATTTTTTCATACCTATTTTCTTTTCCCTTGATTTTCTCATCCCAACAATAAACCTACGCTCAATGTATAGAAATCGAACTCCTTCGTTCTTCGCCTCGTTCATTTCTACCCTAATCGAAAAGCAAAGCCAACTTTAAGCCATTCATTCAAGAACGTCACAATTTAAACGGAAGTAATTTTCAAACATTATAGGCAAAATTAAAATTATGTGAAAAATTAAGGGAAAAATATTTAACAACTTCAATCTCGTTTCTGTTCAAAGATTTAAAAGAATATTTTAATTCGAGTAGTATTTTAATCTTCAAAATATGAAAAAGAAATATTTTTGATGAATCGTTTCCTCAGAAATGTAAATTATGATTTTAACATTATCAAATAAAAAATAAAGTGACATTTAGTTCAATTTTAGAAAAATCTGATAAACGTTTTCTAGATTATTTAATTTTAACTGCAAATAATGAGGACAATGGATTTTTTAATAAAATTTTTAATTTTTTATATTTTCAATGTTCATGTTAAACGAAAAACTGTTTTTTTAAATAATTTTACCAATGCGATTCAAATATTATTCATATATATTATTATATTGCCCTTTTTTGTGCAAGATTACATTTTTTTGTCAGTTTGGTAAAAATAATTTTTTTTTAAACTAAAGATTTTTGAAAATTCCAGTCAAAAAATGATAATTTTCCTGGGCACCAATTGAACCACAGCTTTTTTTGCACTTAAAGGTAATCGCCAAGAGTAAAAATCATCAATAAAAAAATTTGTCTTGAAATTAGTTTCGTGTTCTTTAAATTTAAATCAAAAATTTTATTTAGTATTTCCCTAAACTTTCACTGTTTTTTAAATTCAATTATTCAAAACTTGAATTGTTAAATAAATCTTTAAATATTTCTTATTTTTTTCCACGGCAAATAAAATTTTTAATAATTCAATTTAAAACCTTATGAAACTTAATAATTTCTAAAAATTACAACTATTTTCCAAAATTCAATTATTTTCTACAATTTTTAACTCAACTTCGTCTCTAAATAAATTATTTTTAATAATTTGACGAAAGTTCTTCGAGACTTCAATTATCATAAAAACAAAAATTCAATTTTCTATAATAATATTGTAACTGTCCATGTTTCTTTTTAAAAAGTTATTAAAATATAATAATTTCAAAAAATTATAATAAAACATTCTTAAAATTTTAAAAACATTTTTGAATAATTTTTGAAAGATATAAATTTTTCAACTATACACAATTGAAAAATTTTCGAACAATTGAAATTTGGTAATCATTTAAAAATAATTCAATTTCTGAAAGATAAAAAAAATCAATTTTTTGAAGAATTTTAATTAGGTATAAATATGAACATTAAATCTCCCAAAGTTTAATTATTTTAAAATAAATTTTTGAGTCTAAATAAGTACATTTTTGAAAATTTTATTCTTCAAAAATAATTAAATCTTAAAAAATTATGATAAAAAAATTCTAAGAATAATTAGTTTTTTATAAATATTTTAATGTAATTTTTCGAAAATTATTGAATTTTTGTATAATTTTAGAAAAAACTAATTTATTTTTTGAATGTATTTGAATTTTCGGAAATATGTAATTGAAAATATTGAAAATAATTGAATTTTAAAAAATAAAACACAATATTCTAATAATTACTTTTTTCAAAAATATTTTAATATAATTTTTAGAGGCTAATTTTCATTTTTTTTCATTTTTGGAATTACACTAGAAGATTTTTTATTAAAACTTTTGAGAATTCAATTATTTTCTCAAAATTTGCAATTAAAATTCATCGAAAGTTAATTTTCAAAAATTCTAATAAAATTCTTGTGAAAAATCAATTATTTTCAATTAAATTTTACAAAATTTCAATTATTCAAAATCTTTTTTATTGTATATTTTTAAAATAATTAGAAAAATTATTCCATAAATAATTTTTGAAAAATATAAATATAATATCAAAATAAGTTGCATTTTATACTAAAAATATGGTATTTTGTTGCAATATTTTGAAGAAAAGTCGAAAATGTCGCAATTTTTTAAAATATTAGAAAAAAGTGGAAAAAGTCATAATTTTCAAGGCCTGTATGTATATAAATATATTATAAATTTAAAAAAAAACTCTTTTTAAAGAACATAAGAATCGTGAGATTTTCTTCTATTATTATTGTTTATCCAGCATCTCGAAGGAAATACCAAAGGAATATATTATGTTTTAGTAGAAAGATAAATACCCTCAAGGAAGCAATGTGATCTGAATATCAAAATTAGAATTATATGCTAACAGGGTTTATAAATATTTGCCCATATATACCTATATATATCAAAACGTTAACAAAATGTTAATTACGTATTTCTACTAAAAACATTACTCTTGATATATTTAACAAAAGTATTCCAGAGAATTATTATTATTATCATCAAAATTAATTTATATTGTAAACTTTGGTAAGAATATGTACAACCTTGATTCCTTTCTCTGACGTAAATAGAGATTTTGAGACGAGGAAATTGAATTTAAGGGATGAATATCCGAGCATAAATTGCTTCTTTGAATGAAATTAATTTATGTAATTAATTTCAAAGGGCCTTCAATTTTCATTCCTATTTTTATATTTTTTTAAAAATTTTTTTACTCTGATGCTTGCTCAGCATCTTGTTATCTTCGAAATAACGAAATAAAAAACAGTTATTTTGCCTCTATTATCTCTATTTACAGGCATTATCGATCTGGTTATAAAATAGAGGGTTGAAATTACGTTTAATTACTGAAGCTTCGATAAACGTAGTGCGGCGAACCTATTTCAAAAGCTTGGTAATAAAATTTTGTTTCATTACAAAGTATTTGTTTCGATTTTCGAGATGAATTGTTGCGGTTAATTCTCGTTATATATTATTATTCAAAAAGGTCACACAGTGATAATTGTTCAAACTGTTCTTCACCCACATTTGCAAAATTTTATCAGATCCTCCTTTTGTCTGTATATTTTTTCATACTTTCACCTCGTTAATTAATAAATTAATTATTAATTTTATAATTAACATTATTGATTAGCAGTTTTTATTAAAAATGATTGTTAGCTTTATTCTTTGTATTTTTATTAAAATATAGTTGACTTTATTTTTTATTAAAACAATTATTAACTTTATTTTTTTATTTTTACTTTATTATTGATTAATTTTATTATCAATGAGGAACTTTTATTAAAAGATAATTGTTGGCTTTTTGATATTTTTGGTTTATCAATTATTAATTAACTTTATTATTATAATATAGAATTTTAATTAAAATAAAATTGATAGTTATATTTTATTTATAACATTTTTTACTACTAAGTTGAATAAAATATTATCGTTAATTAGTAGTTTTCTACTAATTAAATAGTGCGAATTAGTTTACCAATTCAATAGCAAAGATTTTACTAATTAATTTTGATTTCATTTTTCTTCTTTAAATTTTTTGTTTTATTTTCATATTTTATTTTGGAATATCAAATCGTTTGTTTTATTGAAAATAAATTTTTCTTTCATACAAAAAAATATTTCTGATTCAAACAAATTTTTTTTTATTTAAAAAATTTTTTTTTTATTCAAAGAAATTTTTTTTTAATTCAACAAATTTTCTTTGATTTCTTCATGTTTTATAATAAATTTAAAATGACAGAGTGATGAAATTATATTATTTTATATCATAAGAATATTGTAACTATAAATTAAAATTTCCAAAGATTTTAATTTGAACCCATTTCAAAATTCAATTATTTCTAAAAATTTAAGCTATTATGCTTTTAATATTCAATTATAATTTAAAATTGTAACTAAAATACATTTTTTAATCAATTTTTATTAGAAAATTTTTCCAGAATTCAATTATTTAAATACAAAAATAAATAACTTATTAAATAATTAAATATTTCTTAAAATTGAATTTTTATGAAGAATTTTATCAAAATTTTTATCAAAATTTTTAAAAATAGGTAATGGAATTCTTTCGGCGAATTTTATTAAAAATTTTAAGAATAAATGCAATTTTCTATCATTTTATTTAAAATTGTTTTAAAAATAATTGTAATTCTGCGATAAGTTTTGTTATTTATGAAAATAATTGAATTCTTGTAACTAATTTTATTAAAAATTTTTTTTAAATAATTGAATTCCTGTGAAGAATTATATTTGTGGAAATAATTAAATTCCGGAGAAAAATATTTTTCTTTATGAAAATAATAATTAATTTCTTGTGAAAAATTTTATTTTTTACGAAAATAATTGAATTTTTTCGAAGTTTTTTACAAACATTTTTGACAATAATTGTATTTTTTAGAACAATTAAATTTTATTACAATTTTACAAATTTATAAAGCATTTTATGAGAATTTTTTTAAATAATTTAATTCTGAAAAAGAATTGTATTGAAAATAATTGAATTGTATATGAAAATTTTATTAAAATTGCAATTTTATTAACTAAATCTTGTAAAGAATTTTGTCAACATTTATTAAATAATAGAATTTTTTAAAAAAATTTATTTAAATTTTTCGAAATAAGTGAATTTCTTAGAACGATTTTTTTTCAATTCTACGAATATATTTGAATTCTTTCGAGAAACTTGATTAAAATATTCAAAATAATTGAATTGGTTACAAGAAACTTATAAAAAATTGATAAATAATTGAATTCATGTGAAATTTTTATTAAAATTTTGTTTAAATAATTGAATTCTTTTGGAAAACTACTAAAATAGTAAATTATGAAAATTTTTATAAATTGAGGAAATTTTTTAAAAATAATTGAAAGTATGACAAGAATTTTATTACATTTTTTGGAAATAATTGGATTTTGGAGAAG